TGGATACGATTTCTTTAAATAGTATAATTAATAAAAAATTAGATTTCAGTCATAGGTGGAATTCCTGTGAGCATTTGTCTCAATCATGTTCGCCTATGTCTGAAATGGGCACGACGCAAATAAAGAGAATAGTAAAATCTCGTTGGAAAATTCTTCCTTTTTATAATTTGCAGAAATCAAAGAATACATCATCTTAAAAAGTGTTGTTGAAAACAAGACAAATATAAGAAAGCAAGAAATAAGAAGAATATATGAAAATCCCAGACAACTTAGAAGTATTCTACGACATTGGATTATGTCGAAGACATCTTCATTTGATTGAAGGATTTCAAATTATAATCGTGCTTTTAGCTGAAAAAGTAAGAACGATAATTCTCGAATGGTAATTACTTTCCAAGAATAAGGCTTTTTGTTTGTTTGTTTGAGTTGTTATCTTAATGAAGTAAACATCTTGTAAACATCATTTACGGGCGAAATATTGATTTGAAATCCCATTCGTATTTATTTATACGAAACTGAATTATTCCCATTTTTCCAAAGCTGAACGAAATAAAAAGACAAGCAAAGAGAAGGAAATAAGCGAAGACAAAATTGGAGAAAATGGCGCCGGAGAGCAAAGATAGACTTCACATCTATAAGAGGAAGACATATTTTCAAAGACAAAAATAAAGACGAAGATAGGGAGCGAAAGGTAGACTACAGATAATGATAATGGTAATATTAACTGTTTCCTTATAAGGAAACATTGACCGAAAAGACTGTGCCACCGTCGGTTGAAATATATAGAATTTTCTCTGAAAACAATTCTTTAAGAAAATAAATCTCTCATGTCCAGTAACTGTTATCGCTCTTTTCATTACTGATGGGAGTTTCCTTCCTAACCTTTCGTTTGAAGTCGTGTGGAATGTCAATATCTTTACTATGCATATGAGAGATGTGAACAGAATGAGATAGATAGAAGATTAATAGAGAGGAACTGGCTGAGATAGATAGATAGATAGATAGATAGATAGATAGATAGATAGATAGATAGATAGATAGGAACTGGCTGAGATAGATAGATAGATAGATAGATAGATAGATAGATAGATAGATAGATAGATAGATAGATATGAAAAGTAAGATAGATACATACTTATAGATATAAGACTGCGGTATGTATATTTATTGTGATTCACTTTGGGACTTTCTTCAGGATGCTCCCTCGATTGATATTCTTAAGCTTCCCATTGAGAATTGTACCAGTGAGGTTTCTTCTTGGGCCAAAGCCGGCATCGATACCTTTGCACCTTCTGCGAAATATCCAAGTGAAATCAAAATAGCCCGCATGAATAATTTTTTTCCGGCTATACCAACGTAACATTTCCTATCACAACCGACGCCTATTCGTGGCTGCACGTAATAAATGTAAACATGTCCCAGCACGTGTCTTTGTTGATAGAATGACGCACCGTATACTCTGACTCTGTCTATATTTCTGAGATGAGGTATTATGTACATTATTTACATTATTCAGACTATTATCCTCATCTTTGTCCAACCACCTGAAGAAGGCTGGAGCGTACATCGGTCGAAACGTTGTGATAAATATGGCGACAAAGATGAGGACAATAGTCCGAATAATGTAAATAATATACCGTATACTCTCTTTAATAGGTTATTAAATAAGAGTATATTTTGTATTTGCGATGTTAACATCTACTGATAAAGCAAATTGTTTTACCCGTAAATTCTCCTCAAACTCTACTCTTAACTCATCTGGAGTATACTTGCCTGTCTTTCCACTTAGAACTGAATTCCTGTAGAGGGATATGCATCTCTAATATTGATCCCAGAAAAGCATGTACTTCTGAAGAGTATTCCTGTAATAGCTCTTAAGAGATGTGTCCCCGAACTGACTCCTGTATTCTTTATACTTTACAATAAATGACTCGCTCCCTTATGCTTTCAGGCATGTTGTAAATCCTCCTCTGTTGTTCCAGTCTTTAAAACATCAGGTGAAATGACTGACCCTTCGAACTACTTTGTTAGCTTTCTATTTCTTATTGGCAAACTACTAGAGGTCCTAATCAACTCTAAATTGGTTCATCATCTCACATCGTAGGGCCTTCTTTCAGACAAGCGATATGGCTTTCACTTCACTAGGTCAAATGCTGGGCACTAACGATTATCGCCTAAACGGTCTATCAAGCTTTAGACAAGACTGGTGAAGCTCGGTCTGTTACTTTGGACATCTCGAAAGCGATTGACAGATTTTGGCAAACCAGGTCTTCTTCACAAATTGAAAGGCTATGGTAGTTCTGGGCGAATTTTTGAACTGGTTCAGTCTTTCTTAACAAATCGTGAAATGAAAGTTGTCTTGAATGGCCACTCTTCTAGATCTTCATGTATTAATACAGGTGACTCCCAGGACTCTATCCTTGATCCTAATTTGTTCTTAATTTTCATCAACGACCTTCCTAGTGACATCAGTTCTCAACTTAATATCTATGCTGAAAACACATCAATTTACTCCTGTCTCGATGGTAGGTCTGATCTAAAAAATTACCTACAGTCAGATGTTAACTGGGGCAATTAATTGCTTGTTAATTATAACGCTTCCAAAATATTTTTCTCTGTTAATCACTTGAAATATCCCTTCCTGCCTCCCATCGGCATGACTAATATTAACCTTCATTAAAGTGACTCGTTGCACCTCTTGGGCTATCATTCCCGGCTAACATGAAGTGGAAAGATTATATTGAATCCATTACTAGATCAGCTGCTAAGAAAGTTGGTTCACTGTGTTGTGCTAGGCAATCTTATATATATATATATATATATATATATATATATATATATATATATATATATATATATATTCAGGCCGGTAACTACTTTTTATTATAAACAGAGGATTTACTTAAATATTTGTATCTATAAAAATAATGTATAGACATGAAAATGTCTTAAAATAATTGTCGGACTTTGTCCATTTCATAATGTGGGACGTCATTTGTTTACATTTGGATACGCATTGAGCAGATATGAATGTACGTGAGAGAGTCATGGAAGATTGTAGTTTAAAGACAGTAAAACCGAACGTTCCTCTGTGGCCCAATCGGTTAAAGGCACATCAGGCTATATGACGGTTCCATATAGGATATAGGTTCGATTCCTGTCAGAGGACGAATATTTTCTATGAAAATTTCTCGGACACTCCAGCCGGTAAATGTTGTTTATTATAAACAGAGCATTTACTTAAATATTTGTATCTATAAAAAGAATGTATAAACATAAAAATGTCTTAACATATATATATATATATATATATGAATTTAATTAAAAAACAGACAACCTTAAAGGTCGATTGATTATATATTATTTCCCCGGGAAATAAAATATAATCAATAAGGAAATAAAACATAAGTAATGACCCTTAAGATTGTCTGTTTTTTTTTTTTAATTTTAATTAAATTAATATTCGTTTTACATTGAGTTCCCTGATTACAACCTCCTTGATATTCTCCATACAGATTCTTCTTAAACCTAGCTATATATATATATATATATATATATATATATATATATATATATATATATATACAAATTTATATCTATACATACATACAAGTTATATATATATATATATATATAAATATATATTTATATATTCTTTAGTCCATGCTTTTTATCACTGCCACATGGTCCGCTTCTATCTGTTGTATACATAAAAATTCTTCTTAAACTACAAAGCAGAATCAGCAATATTACTGGTCATAACCAGGCAACTCGGCTTAAGTCAATTAGAAAAAGCGCCATAATATAGTTTCTCCGTGCCTTTTCTCTGAATATTTTCATGGGAATGTTCGGATGAGCTCTTCGCCACAGCACCCACACTTAATGAATTTAAGCGTAGTACTAGTTTGGTAAAAAGTGAATTGGCTCGATGTAACTGTAAGTACTAGGCTAACAATTTCTCGCACTTCTTGCTTGTGGAAATATATTTTGGCGTCAACCTTTCCAGACAATTTTCATCTTCAAAAACATAAATGCAATATCAATCGTTATCTACTGTCTTCTTGATTCATTTTCTACTCTTGTTCTCGCTCCATAACATTGGTTCTCTTTTTTCTTATAATTTCATACACACTAAACCATTGTGTACTAATGGCTGAGATAGATAGATAGATAGATAGATAGATAGATAGGAACAGACTGAGATAGATAGATAGATAGATAGATAGATAGATAGATAGATAGATAGATAGATAGATAGATAGATAGATAGATAGATAGATAAATTAGATTAGATTGATAGATAGATAGATCCCAAAAGACTGAGATAGATAGATAGATAAAATAGATAAATAATCATCAGACTGAGATATAGATAGATAGATAAAACAAAACTGGTTGGATGGTGATAGATAGATAGATAGATAGATAGATAGATAGAATTGACTGAGATCGATAGATTTCAGATAGATAATTCCTAGATAGAAAGTATAAATTCTTTTCTTGTAATTTCTTCCCAAAGGAAATGCTATTCCATAAAAATAAATAATCATCGACTCTTAATACGCACAAAAACAAAACTGGTTGGATGGTGCTTTTCCAAGAAGGCAAGATAGAATTGTTGATTTCGGATTTCAGTAGGAAATTCCTGCGATAAATCTTCGGCTTCTATTTTCACCAAGAATTCAAACCAGATTATTTATTTGGTTTTATTATTATTATTATTATTATTATTATTATTTTTGTTCTCAGTCAATTCTGTTCTGTTGAATGTCTTCTAATATTTAGTTGGAGTTAGCTTTGAGCGGGAAATGTAAATAAACGTAGGAAGTCCCGAAAATGAACGAATGGAAGATGGATTGAATGGATGGGCATAAAACAGTTGCGTAAAGATAAATATATATATATATATATAATATGAGGAGGAGATAAAAGAAAGTTTGGTTTCAGTTTGTTTGTTTTTTATTTGTTTGTTAAAATGTTCATAATAAACAATGGAATGTTTAGAGGAATTCTTGAAAGAAAGAAAGAAAGAAAGAAAGAAAGAAAGAAAGAAAGAAAGAAAGAAAGAAAAACAAACAAAATACAAAAAAAAATAAAAGGAAGAAATAAAAAGAAAGAAAAAAAGTTGTTTTCTAAATATTTATGAAAAGAACACAGGAAGAAAACAACAAAGAAACAAAAAAAAGAAAGAGAAAAGAACCTGAAAGGAAAAACAAACAAAAGAAAGAAACCTGAAAAAGAAACAAAAAAGAAAGAAAGAAAGAAAAAAAAGGAACCTCAGGAACAAAAGAAACAAAGAAAGAAACAAAGAAAGAAAGAAAGAACCTGAATGAACAAACAAACAAAAAAAAGAAAGAAACAAAAGAACAAACAAAGAAACAAAAAACAAAAGAAAAAAAAAAAGAAACAAAGAAAGAAAAGAAAGAAAGAAAGAAAGGACGGTAAAACAATTAAAAGTGAAACCTAAATAAATTAAGAATGAAAGAAAACAAACAAACAAGAAAGAAATTGAATGAAGAATGGTAAGAAAGAAAGAAAAAAGAAATACTAAAGAGAGAAATGAACGAACAAATAAAGAATTAATGAAAGGCAGATCACGAATGAAGAAACAAAAGAGCGGGCAGTAAAATGAAAAAAAAGAAAAAGAAAAGAAAGAAAAATAGAAAAAAAGAAAAGAAACAAAGAAACAAAAGAAAGGAAAAGAAAGAAAGAAAGAACAAAGGAACAAACAAAGAAAATAGAAAAGAAAGAAAAAAAAAAAGAAAGAAAGAAAGAACCTGAAAGGAACAAACAAACAAAAGAAAGAAAGAAAGAACCTGACATGAACAAACAAACAAAAGAAAGAAAGAACCTGAAAGAAACAAACAAAGAAACAAAGAAACAAAAGAAAGAAAGAACCTGAAAATAAAAAGAAATTTTAAGTAAGAAACAAAAAAAACAAAAAAACAAAGGAACAAAAGAAAATGGAAAACAATTAAAAGTGAAACCTAAATAAATTAAGAATGAAAGAAAACAAACAAACAAGAAAGAAATTGAATGAAGAATGAAGAAAGAAAAAAAAAAGAAATACAAAAAAAATGAACGAACAAATAAAAATGAAAATTTATAAATAAATCAAAAAAAAGGCGGCAAAAAAATAGTCAAAAAGAAAGAGAAAAGAAAGAAAGAAAAGGGAAAGACATAGAGAAAGAAAGGAAGAAAGAAAAGTAAAACAATTAGAAATGAAAACTAAAATGAAGAATGAATGACAGAAAAAGACAAAGTAAAAGAAAGAAAATGAATGAAGAAAAGTAAGAACGAAATAAAATAAAATATATATTTTAAGTAAGTAGATTAAAGGAACAACAGAATATGGAAAAGAAACAATTAATGAAAGACAGAATAATGGATGAAGAAAGAAAAAGATGGAAACAAAAAATAATAAGGAAAAAATGAAAATTTATGAATAAATCAAAGAAGGTAATAAGTAAGGAATCGTCGATGGGCGAAAGAAAGAAAGAAAGAAAGAAAGAAACAAGGAAAGAACGAAAAAACAAACAAGTCAAGAAAGAACGAACCAAAAATCAAAGAAAGAAAGAAAGAAAGAAAGAAAGAAAGAAAAAAGAAAGAAAAAGAAAGAAAATTAAAAAAAAATTTAAACAAAATTCAAACAAACAAACAAAAAGAAAGAAAGAAAACAAACAAACAAACAAACAAACAAAGAGAAATACGAAAAAAGAAAGAAAGAAAAAAAGAAAGAAATTTAATGAAAAATTAAAAAAGTAATAATTCAGTAAAGGATCGTCGATAGAAGAAAGAAAGAAAAAAGGAAGACGCACAAAACAAACGAACGAAAAAAAAGAAAGAAAAAAGGGGAAGAAATTAATGGAAAAATTAAAGAAGGTAATATTCACTGAACAATAATTTATAGAAACGAAACAACGAACAAAAGAAAGAAAGAAAGAAAGAAAGAAAGAAAGAAAGAAAGAAACAAACAAACAAACAAACAAACAAACAAACAATCCAAATAAAAAGAAATAAAATAAAGATGCGAGCAAAAATCAGGCAAAGGAAGAATTGCGCGTCTTTAGTGTTTATTATTCTTCCCATGGCGTTTTCATTTTATAATAAAATTGAAGATAAACGCCTCATTATTCAAACAATAAAACTGCTGGATGGGAATCTCTTCATTGTTTACTTGATAAGAAAACTCCTTTGGTTGTAGCAAATAAAATCTCTGCTTTTCTATTTTCAGTGTCGACCGACTCCGATTCGTCCAGGTAGTTTTCTTTAAAGCCGATCATAAAATCAACGATAACCAATCAACGAGTTTGTTCAGTTGAGAATCATTTCGTTATTTTTTCCTTTTCTTCAACTGGGAAATAAAATAAATCTTGTGTTTTAAATATAAAAAAAAAGAAAAGGATTGGAAGGAATTGGATGATATAAATCCTAGTCAAGAATAAAAAAGAAATGAATTCTTATATTCTTGCCCTAATAATAAAGAATTACTTTTTAAACAGGGTACATTCAACAGAAATATCACAAAATTATAGCTGAACATTTATAGTATACAGGGTGTCCATAAAGTTCATGTGCACATTAAGAAATTTATAACTTTATTTGTATTTGCGATAGAAATAATTTGTAAAAAGCATTAGAAAGAAGTAAATCTGTATTTTTTAAGGTTTTATTGAAATTTTATTTAACTTTCCATCATTAGCAATACAAAGGTTAATACGATTTCTCAGTATTTTAAAAGGTAAGCTTAAACATTAATTCAATACTTAAATGCAGCGATCAATTTTGAGTTTTTCTGGAGTTTATTGATGCCTATCGCATCTACTCCTCCATACCTATTGTGATGAAGGCCCAATTAAGAGCCCTCCGCAAGATCTAGTAGGTCACCTTTTAAAATACTATATATATATATATATATATATATATATATATATATATATATATATATATATATATATATATATATATATAGGGTGTCCAAAAGTTCAGGTGCACTTTAAAATTTATAACTATTTGTATTTGGGATAGAAATAATTTGAAAAAAGGATTAGAAAGAAGTAAATCTATATTTTTTAAAGGTTTTATTGAAATTTTATTTAAGTTTCCACATGTCCTCCATATTTTGCTGTTCACGGAAAACATTTGCCAACTGATTTACAGTAATGCCTAAAATCATATTTAGTTATTTTAGCTATACTTAAAACTAGGTACATTAAACTTTATAACATTTTTTACAGAATATTTCTATCACTAATACAAATAAAGTTATAAATTTTTTAAAGAGCACACGAACTTTATGGACACCCTGTATAACGTGACATATTTGGAAAGATAATAGAATAGTCCAGAACATTTACTGGCAGCAAACTTTTTGAATACACAGAGAAAAGTGAATATACAAAAATAGAAAGAAGTATAAGATATAAGTGTGTGGTTTGTCATCGGATTTATTCAACCGATTCAATGAAGCTATTCTCAGAGAATTGGTTGTCCTACCAAGAATCATAATCTTAACAGTATAACATATGCAAGTGACACAGTGTTGATAACAGACACGGAATGGAAAGTGCAAGAGGAAAGGGCAAAAGTCCTTTTGGCAATAAAACAGGATGTATAGTTATCAGCAAAAGGAACGGCCTAATATGCAAATTATAAATTGGAGGTACGGAAATCAAACACATACAAAAATTTAAATATCTGGCACATGTTTTAACAGAGAACGAAAAGTTCGATACTTAAATCCGAAGGCGCATTGGGATAGCGAAAAATGCCTTCCAAAAGTTAAGCAAAGTATTAAGAAACAGGAAATTCTTTTGTTAGAAACAAACAAAAATGTACTTAACTATCATGTAATATTGGTCTTCCTATACGATACTGAATGCTGGGCAATCTCCCCACTGATGAAGAAGAGACTTGAAGCCGCAGAAATGTGATACTACAGACTGATGATGAGAATACTGAACATGTGAGCAACGACAAAGTTTTAAAGAAAATAGGGAGCAAAAAGGACACTTATACTTAACATCAGAAAGAGAGACTTGACATTTCTAAGGTACATAATGAGAAAAGAATGCTTGGAAAATTTGATACTCACAAAACAGATTGAAGTCAAAAATAATAAAAGAAAACAACGCGTAACCTACTTAACGAGCTTGCGTATATGGATGGGAAAACAGGGTTTATTAAAAGCTACAAAGGACAGGAAGTTGTGGAGAACCATGATCTCTACGCCCTGAATGGATACAGCCCATAAAAGAAAAACGGACTTGTTTAATTTGTTGTCACAACAGGGGTTAGGAGTGATAACAAAAAAATTACTAATAACTATAAAGTACAGGAAATTGTGGAGAGCCATGATCGCCCAAGTCCTGAGGAGACACGGTACATAGAAAAAGAAAAGTGAGTTTTTGTAAATGGATGGTAGAATAGGATTTAGGAGAGATAAAAAAGACAAAATTTACTAAGAGGTATAAAGAACAGGAAATTGTGGAGAGCCATGATCGTCCAAGTCTTGAAGAGACACGACACTTAGAAAAAGAATACCGAGTTTTTGTAAATGGATGGTAGAACAGGGGATAGGAGAGATTAAAAAGCTATAAAGAAGAGGAAATTGTGGAGAGCCATGATCGCCAAGGCTTGAAGAGACCTGGCACATAGAAAAAGAAAAGCGAGTTTTTTTGTAAATGGGTGGTAGAACAGGGGATAGGAGTGATAGCAAAAAAATTACTACTAACTATAAAGGACAGGAAATTGTGGAGAGCCATGATCGCCTATGTCCTGAAGGGATACGGCACATTGAAGAAGAATCCTTCGAGTTCACATTTGGAAAAAATTGAATAAATCTTTCTAATCCTTAGCCAATAAACATTCACCAAAATGAGTTTGTTTCTAATAAAAGTTTTACAGGATATCCAATATTCCTAGAATATTGCTTTTATTCTTTCTTGTTAATTCTTCTTCTGTGTAAGTTATTGGTAAAATCTGATTACCGCAGTTCCAAATACGCAGACACCATCTACCGTTGTCCACCCACTCAATAACAGATGTGTGATGACACTTGCTTAGTTTCTGACAAATCTTGCCTTCTGGCAAGAAAGTATTCAACGCTTGAAGATAACACTATTTTTTAGCTTAATTTACCAAACAAAAGGTTTTCCTGAATCGATTTTGAAAACTATTTTTTTTTTTTAGTATTTTTTCTTTAGAAGTTACTTTAGGAGAAAATGAGAGTTTATAGTTAGGCGAAAGTTGCAGAGAGGCAATAACTCCAAACGTATTTTTGTTTTCTTCTTAATATTCTAAAATTATATTGTGTAACCTTATTTACGTCGTCTGGGGTTCGTTCGATAATATTTCCACTTTGCCCTTGTTTAGCAAACTGTCCCCCACGGCCCTTCCTAATTCCGACAGTCAAACCGATAATATTTGCCGGAACAAGACAACAGGAGCACTTGCCCATCAACTTCAGCTTGACTCGAGGCAATGCAGACTCATCAAGGTCTGAAGAGAGTTCGATCGCTGGTCGCAACCCTTTATTGCCCCACTCCGCAACGCCGATTCAAAGACGGGAACTCTCAATCCGCAAGATCTTTGCTTGATTTTATGTTAACTTGTCGCCGGTGGCTAGTGACTAAAACGGCAAGTCAAACATGACTTGATACATGTCATGTCTTTCCGTTTTAACCTTTGACTCATTTAAGAGACTGGGGTTAATACTGAAAAAATTGGTTGCATCCTCTTCTTATTCGCCCTCCCCTCCCTCTCTCTCTCTCTCTCTCTCTCTCTCTCTCTCTCTCTCTCTACAATCTCTACATTACTTGACATTTATCTCTTTACTCTATCTTTCTCTCTGGACCTTATTGGATCTCCTTTCACTCTCCTACTATGAATGCTTATCTCTCTTCCCCGTCTTTTTTGGTTATATATTTTTGTGTATCTCTCTCTTCAGCAACTATTTTGGTTAACTAACTCGCTATATAGGAACGTGACAGGGATAGATAGATAGATAGATAGATAGATAGATAGATAGATAGATAGATAGATAGATAGATAGATAGATGTCTCAGATTGTATTCATTTTACACATAAGTGTCTATAAGAATTTAAATATATTCTGGAAGTGCAGAAAGAAAGTGCGCATATAATTTGGGATATATATATATATATAGAGAGAGAGAGAGAGACAGACAGACAGACAGACAGACAGAGAATGGCAGAAAGTGTATGAGAGAGACAGAGTAAAAGTAAATTAAATTAAATATTCACTTATCTGTCCTACTCTAAGTTTCATGGTGATTGCATCAACTCATCAGTCTTATAAGGTAAATGTAATTTATTTACACAAATCATATTTTTCTTAATTTTTTACTTAATTTTTCCTTGAAAAGACGTTAACTTTTACGTAAACCTATTTTAGATTTGTTCTTACTTTATGTAACAATATTATACATATATGTATAATATGTATATGTGTGTGTGTGTGTGTGTGGTACCCCAGAAATCTTTCTTGAAGCTTTCATTTTAGCTTTAATTACAAGCTAATAGATTAAATTTAATATTTCCTATAAGCAAAATATTTTGCTGTATTTCAAACCGAATTTAAATTGATTGTAATGATATTTAAAATCGCTAAAATTTGTTATATTAACAAATTTGTCACTATTACATAATATATCCTTAAGTCGGAAATCTTGGGCTTTCATGGCCGAAAAAATTGAAGCGTCAGAAGGACAGTTTTTCCATTGACACCGCTTTTATTTTAACTACCTACACTCCCCGGCAATATTTATTGTTTTAAAAAGCGATTTTTAGAATTGTAATGAAACTTATGTATATTAAAGTGAATTTACACATTTTATTTGTTCTTGAGCACTGACAACAAAGACTATAAACACTATTTATTTATTAGATTGTTTATGGTTGGCAAAATATCGGCTAATTGCCAATCAAATCGAACTTTATAAAATCTTAAATAATTAGCATTTGCTTATAGTTGATTCACATAATTTAGTAATTTAGTAAATGTTTATACTTTATGAATAAAAAATGTTTTCATAATTATTTCTTTATGAATTGGTAAATGATAAATA